AAAATTTAGTTTATTTTGCACTTTATTTATTGTGTGTACCTGTAGCAGAGGGTGCACTTGAGTGCTGTTTTAGTCACTTTTGTTATGATGAGACATCGTGACCCACGGCAACTCTTAAAAAAGAAAGCATTTAATTAGGGCTGGCTTACAGTTTCAGAAGTTTCATCCATTATCATCATGGCAGGGATTATGGTGCCAGGCATGGCGCTGGAGAAGGCGCTGAGGGCTACATCCTGACCCTCTGGCAGAGAAACACTGGGCTTGGCACGGGCAGCGGTGGTGCACGCCTTTAAACCAGCTCTCGGGAGGCAGAGGCGGGAGGATCTCTGTGAGTTCAAGGCCAGCCTGGTCTACAGAGAGTTCCAGGACAGCTTCCACAGCTACAGAGAAACCCTGTCTTGAAGAACACACACACACCAAAAAAGAAAGAAAGAAAGAAAGAAAGAAAGAAAGAAAGAAGGAAAGAAAGAGAGAGAAAACTCAAAGTGGACTTCAGTGACACATTTCCTCCAGCAAGGCCACACCTCCCGACCCTTATAATCCTTTCATATAGTGCTGCTCCCTAGTGACAAAGCATTCAGCTAGATGAGTCTGAGAGAACCAATCTTATTATTATTATTTACAGTGTTCTGCCTGCATGTGCACCTGCAGGCCAGAAGAGGGCGCCAGATATCATTACAGATGGCTGTGAGCCACCATGTGGTTGCTGGAATTGAACTCAGATCCTCTGGAAGAGCAGCTGGTGCTCTCAACCTCTGAGCCATCTCTCCAGCACCCTCCAGGACTTCTAATAAAGTTAAATGTTGATTCGGAGGGCAGAGTCAGTGACTGGCTGACCAGAATTAGCCACAGATACATTGTTGGACCAAGGGAGTCGAATAGAAAGGGATGGGAAGAGATAGAGAGGGGATTGGAGATATTTCAATGACTTTTTGATCTGGGAAGCAGAGAGTAGGTTCAGCCATGGCTCCTCCACTGTTCTTTGGATTTATCAGGCTTTTATCTTAGTTTCTGACTCCCCACTTTTTATTAATACTAGAACAATTAAGGTAAATGCATCAGGACACACCTTCCAATCTTTCCCAGAGAGTTCTACCAACTGGGACCAAGCATTCAATAGACAAGCCTCTGAGGGCATCTCACTCAAGCCAACACAACAGCTTGTAGGCACTGGTTCACTCCATTCAACCTGTGGTTAATCCAAGTATTCAGGCTTGGCAGTGGTGGGTGCCTTTATGTGCAGAATCAGCTCATCAGCTCTCCACCTTGCTTTTTTTTGTTTTGTTTTTCAGACAGGGTGTCTCTGTATTGCTTTGGAGCCCATCCTGGAACTCACTCTGTAGGCCAGGCTGGCCTCAAACTCATAGAGATCCGCCTCCCTCTGCCTCCCAAGTGCTGAGATTAAAAGTGTGCACCACCACTGCCCAGAAGTTGTTTTGTTGTTATTTGTTTTTCAAGACAGGGTTTCTCTGTGTGGCCTTGGCTGTTCTGGAACTTGTTCTGTAGACCAGGCTGCCCTTGAACTAAGAGATCGCCTACCTCTGCCTCTCAAGTGCTAGGACTGAAGGTGTGTGCCATCACCATCCTGGGGTAGAATATTGTTTTAAGGTGAGTGGCTTTTGTTTTTACTGCATTAGTTTAACTTGGTGAAGCTGTGATTCTTTGCCTGTTTGAAACACCTGATGATCCTAATAAAGAGCTGATCGGCCATAGCCAGGCGGGAGCAAGGAAGAGAGTATAAAAACAAGGAAGAGGAGAGCGACAAGAGGAGGACTTCAGGGGTCAGACACCCAGACACCCAGACACACAGACACACAGACACCCTGACACCCAGACACACAGACACCCAGACACCCTGACACCCAGACACACAGACACCCTCACACCCAGACACCCAGACACACAGACACACAGACACACAGACACACAGACACCCTCACACCCTCACACCCAGACACCCAGACACACAGACACACAGACACCCTCACACCCTGACACACAGACACACAGACACACAGACACCCTCACACCCAGACACACAGACACACAGACACCCTCACACCCAGACACACAGACACCCAGACACACAGACACACAGACACCCTGACACCCTCACACCTAGACACCCAGACACACAGACACCCTGACACCCAGACACACAGACACACAGACACCCTGACACCCTGACACCCAGACACCCAGACACACAGACACCCTCACACCCTGATGACCAGACACACAGACACACAGACACACAGACACCCTCACACCCTCACACACAGACACACAGACACACAGACACCCTCACACCCTGACACCCAGACACACAGACACCCAGACACACAGACACCCTCACACCCAGACACCCTGACACCCAGACACACTGACACCCAGACACACAGACACACAGACACCCAGACACCCTCACACCCAGACACCCAGACACCCTCACACCCTGACACCCAGACACCCAGACACCAGACACCCAGACACACAGACACCCTGACACCCAGACACACAGACACACAGACACCCAGACACACAGACACCCTCACACCCTGACACCCAGACACCCTGACACCCTGACACCCTCACACCCAGACACACAGACACACAGACACCCAGACACCCAGACACACAGACACACAGACACCCAGACACCCTGACACCCAGACACCCTGACACCCAGACACACAGACACCCTGATGACCAGACACCCTGACACCCAGACACCCTGACACCCTCACACCCAGACACACAGACACCCTGACACCCAGACACACAGACACCCAGACACACAGACACACAGACACCATCACACCCAGACACCCTGACACCCAGACACCCTGACACCCTGACACCCAGACACCCAGACACCAGACACCCAGACACCCAGCAAGCCACAGAGTAAGAAGGAAAGTAAGATATATAGAAGTAAGAAAGATAAAGCCCAGAACGAAAAGGCAGATGGGTTCATTTAAAGATAATAAAAGCTGGCTAGAAACAAGCCAACCTAAGGCTGGACATTCATGAGCCTCCGTGTATGATTTACTTGGGAGCTGGGTGGTGGCCCCCAAAAGAGACAAAAAAATCTTAGTACACCATCCAGTTAGCCATCTTTTTGTTTGTTTTTGTTTTGTTTTTGTTTTTGAGACAGGGTCTTTCCCTAAACTTGACATGCATCAATTCAGATAGCCTTCTTCTGAGTACTGGGGTCACAGATGTCCCCACCCTGGAATTTTACAGTGATACTGGGAACCAACACAAATTCTATCTTGTGTGTCAGGTTCTTTACCTAAAGAGCTGCCCGCAGCCTCTCTTAGCTGAAGTAACTTGAGGGTCATCTATTGGATTTTATGTGCATGAGTGTTTTGCCTGCATGCATGTATGTGTACCACATGTGTGCTCACTGACTGTGGAGGTCAGGAGAGGGTGCCAGGCTCCATGGAGCTGCAGCTTTGATGGCTCAACCGCCATGTGGATGACAGGGACCAAACCGCGCTGTCCTCTGTGAGCAACACGGTCACACTGTCTTAAACACTGGGTCAATGCCCCTATTTTTAACTCTTTATTAAAATATTCATTCATTTGTTTGTTTGTTTGTTTGTTGAGAAAGGGTTTCTTTACATAGCCCTGGAACTCACTCTGTAGCCCAGGCTGGCCAACTCAGAGATCTGCCTGCCTCAGTCTCCTAAGTGTTGGGATTACAGGCATGCACCACCACTGCCTGGCTATTTTTATTTTTAATTGTGGGGTACGTGTACATGAGTGTGGGTGAAGGTCCTTCAGAGCTGGAGTTACAGGTAGTTTGTGAGCCGCCTGGCATGGGATCTAGGCATTGTAGGTACTCTTAAATAATTTTTAAGAAGATGAATTGATGCTTCTTACGTGTGACATCCATATTTCAGCATTGTGTTAAAATTTAAAGGCAAAAAGCATGGTAACAAAAGAACACACAGCCAGGTATGATGATTTATGCCTTTAATTCCAGCACTGGGGAGGCTGAGGCAGGATTGAGAGATCCAGGCCAGCAGTTTCAAAAACAACAAGGTGTGTGTGAGGTGGAGAGATGGCTCAGCTGTTAGGCACACTTGTTTCTCTTACTGAGGACCTGAGTTCTGCTGGCAGCTCCCACGGGGTCTTGTAACTCCAGTTCCAGGGAATCCAGCGCCCTCTCCTGACCTCCACAGGTATTGCACTATATGCAGATGAAAGACTCACACATATGAAATAAAAATAAGTTTTGGTTTTCCCGATACAGGGTTTCACTACACTACACAGACAGCCTTGGCTGTCTTGGAATGCTCTTTGTAGACCAGTCTGGCCTTGAACTCACAGAGATCCACTTCCCTTTGCCTCCCCCGAGTGCTGTAATTATAAGTGCAAACCACCACACCCTGTCCCTACTGTAGAACCTAGAAGTAATAATAAGAGGCAAATAGCATCTTAGCATTACTATGAAAGTGGTTTCGAAAACTCGGAGAGGGCTTTGGGGACCTGCCAGAGGTCCCCAGACCACTCTTTGCTTACGGCCAATCACACCAACCCCTACCACAACTCACTGTTGCCTTCCTTTCTCGTTTTTATTACGAAAGTATAAATTACATCTTTACGGGCCCAGCATCCCTTCTTACTCACAATTCCAGGACCTCCTAATTCCCTGACTCCTCCACCGCTTCCTCTTGACATCTCTTCAAACCAGGCATCAGTCCCTGTTCTTAGTGCTCCCTTGGCACTTCCAACCTGCTGGGACCTCTACTCCCTGCTTCGCTGTTTGAGGGATTTCTTTCCCGGGGAGAGACTAAGTGATTGTCCCTGCTGCCTTCTTTCCCTCCCACGACATCCCCTGCTGTCCTGGAACAGGGCTCGATGTAGGAAATGGTGCTGGCCAGGCAGTCCCCTTGAGAGGAAACAGTTTACCCATCTGTCCGCATTTGCAACCGCCTGAAATAGACGGGAATCTAGGGCAAGGAAATGCCCATTTGAGTTCCATGGGGGTCAAGCCCAGTCACACCGCCAGGTAGCCTTGTTGGATGTCTGCGTGGGTCAGCAGACCCCGTGCTTCCAGACACGGGAGTCTTTTGCCGGGGATCCTCCAACCTGAACCTTGAACTTCACTCAGAGCCGTCAGGCCCTATTGCTAGCTGCAGCCACAGGCCTCCACTACCATGTCTGGCACATCGGTCTTGACCACATTGCCGTTGTGGTCGAGGTAGAGCAGTGAGAGAGGTCTTCGTGCAGTGGGGACACAGCAGGACGAGCCCGCAGGCCAAGGGTTGTTGGCTTTGAGGAGGCTGAAGACAGCGGAATGGAAGGAGGCGGCGATGCCAGGGCTGCCAGCCAGGTGGGGCGGGCATTGCCCGCTGCAATAATTCAGATGGTACCCTTCTGGCTGCAGGATCCAGTCCTGCCACCCCAGCTCCTGGAAGTCCACATAGTGGTCTCGCCTACAGCATAAGGGGGTCTCCGGCTCACAGGTGGGGGTCCTCCTTCTGGCCCGGCCTGCTCCGGGTTCAGCAGCTCGGATCTTAAGTTCCAAGAAGGGACGCTGCTGTCCCTCTGTGTCCAAGAGCCGGCGTGGCCGTGGAACGACAGTGCTGTGAGGGTCCAGGGGTCTGTAGTCCAGCTGGAGTTTCACGACTCCAGACTCCTCACCGCGCAGGCCGCTAGAGGGCAGAGTCAGGGCGTGCCAGCCCGAGGAAGTCGTCCTGTGCTCGGTTAGGAAGGTGCGGGATCCCCGGCAGCCGCTGGTGCCGCAACGGGAGGTCCTCAGGTTGAGCGTGCCAGGGAAGGACGGGGGCACGTGCAGCCAGAGGCGAGCATGGTACAGTTGGTGGGAACGAAGAGGGGACAGCTGGAAGGTGAGCATGCAGCGCTGGGCTGAAGTGGATTTGTCTGCTCAAACGATCAAAAAACAGAGGGGAAAAAAAAAAAAGAAAGAAAGAAAAGAAAAATGTGAACAGAAAAATGTGAACAGAGACAAGCTTCCCTTTGACACGCCCGCCACTCAGGTCTCTGGGAAGAGCCTGGACTACCTCACAACCAACATCCTCAGCTCCGCCTTCTCCTGCCTGCCACACCCCATTCCTCCTGCCTCGCTTGCAGGACTCCCTTCCTCCATTTCCCTGTCTCTCTCCACCTCACCCACCTACGACGGTGGCAAAGCTGATGACTTCCTCCCGGTTGCCAGGAGCCACGCTCCGGGGCTGCAGTCTCCGGAGGGCTCTGGTTAGCGCTGCCTGGGGCAGAGGGCGAGTTATTCTGGGACGGCTGGTCAGGTGCAGCCCCTCCAGGATTTGCTGCTTGGCTAGCTCTAGGACCAGAGCACGTTCTCCTCGGGGTGCCAGGGTCGGGCCCCCACAGGACGGGCACGCAGATCTTGTGCTCTGCACCCACACCAACGCCCACAGCAGCACTGGCCAGAGCTCTGAAAGCCCCATGCTCCAGGTAGATAGATGGTAGTTGAGAGCCTCGGATGGCAATCGAATGAGCCACAGAGGGAGCAGCAGGAGCGGCAGCTGTGTCACAGCAGCTCTTGACAAAGGGCAGAGCTACTTGTCCTCGGTGGCCTGGGGCTCAGCATGCCTGAGAGCAGTTCAGCTGATGGGCAGCTATGTTTGACCCTCGCGGCTCGCGACTGACCACTGAGCAGGGCCTCTTTAGAGCCAACTGCTTGGGCTCCCTCACCTAGTGGTCAGCCAGCAGACCCAACCTCTGAGCCTTAGGATTGGCCAACTGCACTGCCCATCAAGGCCCCTGCAGGGCGTGGAGGTCTCCCCTGGGGCTTTAGGTAGGGGTGTAGGGGGGCGGGGGGGGGGAGAGTGCAACGTGGAATACATGATGCAAGAAACAGGGTAGTTTCATATGCTCAGTTCCCAAGGGGAAGGACTCCATAGGAGCTAGGTGGGGATGGGCGGCTCCCTTACATGCCATCTTCCCAGATTGCCCACGACTTCTGTAATGGTTTCATGAGGCAGCCATGGGTGCCAATGGTTAGTCGTCCGGGGATCTCCGGGTCAGAAGAATTGTGGTCTCCATTTCACCTTTACACCTGGGTCAGGGTGCGAGTTTGGATGAGGCGGTAGGAAAATTAGAGTCCTCTTGCTCAGGCCAAGGTGGCAGTACCACGGGACACTCACATTACCTTTTGACCCTGCCTGTGCTGGCTGCCCAGAGTCCAACTGGGAGAGGGCCAGAGCTAGGGGTGAGGACGTGCTTCCGTGATGTCTGGGGAAACCCAGAGAGGTGGGGGCGATGGTGATGCAACCCGACAGCAGGGCAGAGTCCATCAAGGCTGGCTGGGGCATGCGCGTTGCGGGGCCTGTGAGTCCATCGAGGCTGATGGGGGCATGCACCTTGCAGAGCCTGTGCCCAGAGACTACTTGAGGGCCCACTGTAGGAGTTGGCCAAATCTGAGGCATCCTAGGTGTTGTGCCAGGCCTCTGTTAACCTGTTTCCTGTTAAAGCAGGAAAGGGGTGGCAGACTTGGCTGCTGTTCATCCAACCATCTAGCCACTCTTCACTGGCTTTGGTTGTGTGTGTGTGTGTGTGTGTGTGTGTGTGTGAGAGAGAGAGAGAGAGAGAGAGAGAGAGAGAGAGAGAGAGAGAGAGAGAGAGAGAGAGGAGGGAGAGAGAGAGAGAGCATGCGCATGTGTGAGCATGTGTGTGGAGACTGGAGGACAGCCCTGGGTGCCACCTTCAGGAATATCATTAATCTCCTTTGAGACAGGGTCTCTCATTGGCCTGGAACCCATCAGTTAGGCTGGCCTGGCTGGCCATCGAGTCCCAGGAACTGCCTTTTCTTTGTACCTCCCCAGCGTTGGGATCACAAGCTCATGTTCTCATTTCTCCCGGCTCTGGAGACTTTAATGCAGGCCTTGTGCTTGCAAGGCCCGGCTTTACCCCACTACATTCTCCCCCGCCCTTCCCCCACCCCGACACACACACACACACACACACACACACACACACACACACACACAGGGTTTCCTTTGTATAGCCCTGGCTGTCCTGGAACTCATTCTGTAGACCAGTGTTGGTATTAAAGGCCGTTGCCACTACTGCCCAGATTTTTTTTTTCAGTCCAGTCAGATTGGTTTTATTATTGCTTTCTTTGTTTTTTGTTTGTTTGTTTTTGTCTTTTGAGATGAACTGTTTTTGAGTTGGCCAGGCTGTCTAGTACTCCTAGATGTAAGTAGGTGACCCTTCTGTCCCAGTTTCTTTAGTGGGAAGACTATGGTGAGTTCCTTTATTGAGCCAGGATCTCCTGTATTCCAGGCTGATTTTGAACTCCCTCTGTAGCCAAGGAAGACCTTCAGTTCCCTACATTGCTAAGGGTGACCGTCAAGTTCTGTTCTTGAATGCTGGGGTTAAAGCAAGGACCGCCCACCACGCCTGGCTTTTATTTGCTGCTGAGGACTGAAACTAGGACTTTGCACATGCTAGACTAGTACCCTACCACTGAGCTACACAGCCAGCCCTAAGGTGCATGGCTTTAAAGGGAAGTGACCCTCTGCCTCTGATACAAGAGGTGGTGCCTGGCTAGCTTTTCTCCTTGGGTCCAGTTTAAGAAGCTGGAAGACACCGTTGAGAAAGATGTGAAAGAAAGGTTTCCCTGCCCACTCCCTAGCTTCCCCTTTAGCTGGCAGGGTTGCCTGGAGAGGTCCAGATCTGGACCAGGGGAAAGGGATGTTCTTTGAAGGCCGAGCCTCAGTACCACCAGTGTCCACCATGTGGCAGTGCCTTGCCACTGGACAGCAGCCACGGGACAGCGGCCAAGACTCCTGGGGACAGGGTTGAGGCTGCTGGAGAGAGGAATATGCCTCATCCTCTCCCTTACCATCCTGCCTCCCTCCCAGACAATGGGAAGGGCCACACAGCAGAGGAGGTCCCCCCACACTACATCCCCGCCACCTTTGACACGTGGCAATGAAGCCTGATGGCAGAGGCCAGACTTCCTAGAAATCCAGGGCGCCATGGAGTGGCGAGGGAGGAGAAAGGGTTAGGAGACAGTTCTAGCCACCTGCATCCCTCCCCAGGCCCGGAGCACCTTGGAGGCTTCGGCCACTGCTTTCTGCAGCTCTTGGCCCCTCTCTGTTTGTCCCTGCAGGCGAGGGACAGCCTGATCTGGACCACGAGCCTGTGCGCGCCCACTTCTTGGCGGTGCCTAGGACTTGTCTGTGCCAGGGAGCGGGCTCAGGGGAAGTGGCGCGAAGTGGCGCTGTAGGAGTGGCTGACACGGCCACCTTTCCCGCACCTCCTTGTCAGGTGCCCGTGGGTTCACGTTTTCCCACCCCTTTGCTGTTTCTCCTGGCCTGGTCCCACCTCCTCAGTGACACTTACATCAGAGCTCAGCTATAAATACGCTCCTAGATCTTAGTCACTTTCCCAAGAAGTGCTTCCAGGTTATAAATACCCCGGCATCTGCCACACTGCCTGACTTGCCACCAAGCTGGCTGGGGGCTGGGGGCTGGGGGCTGGGGGGTAGAGACAGGCTTGAGAGTGGGAAACAGAGGAAGCAGGGTGGCTTATTCACCCTGGAGAGCAGCCTGGAGTTTAGGGGTGGGGGCAGGGGGCTCAGGGCGAGCATGTCTACATGCCAGGTTCTTCCCTCCCACCCCCTCCCCCCTTTTTTTTTTCAAAAAGCAGAGCCAAAAAAGAAAGTGAATAACAGAGCCTGTGTTTATTTTTAAATATGCTGTTTTGCTCATTGTGGATTTGCAGCGTTCTCTATGTTTGAGAATCTTTCATTAAATTTTCTCCATTGACGGATTGTTTGCCTTCGCCTTAAAATGTTGCCCACACAGGTGACCTTACCCTGGCCTTGGTCCTGGGCACCGGGACTGTCAGTATAGGGGAGGAAGATGGCTGAGACAGGGTTAAAAGTGGGACACACCGACTAGAGGGAGGGGCGGAGACACCCTGAACCTTAGTCTTCCCAAGTGAAGATGGGAGGGCTTCCACAGGCTGCTTAGGAAACCCACAGCTCAGGCTTGCAGCCCCCCACCCCCAGGGTCTTCTGAATTTCCGTTGCAGGGACCTCTTACCCAGGTCGGAAGAGATTATATGCTGAGCAAACACAGACATCACATCACCCAAAGGACACATGGGTTTTGCGCAAGCCTCCCTTGGGCTGCAGACGATATCGACCCCATGGTTCAGGGCTGTCCAGCCAAAGGGAGGAGGCGGTGAGGAAAGAAGGGCAAAGGTCTAAAGAGGACCAGATCTCAGAGTAAATGCTGCCCTCTTTTTATCCTAGATCCCTCCTCTTCTTGTGCCACTCAAGCTTCCAGGAAGGACTCGTGGCTGCAGTTCAGGCAGTGGGGGAAGTCTAACAACCAGCTCCGAAAATGCCTCTGCCTCACACCCTGTGTGGCCAGTGTTGCCTTGGTAATTGATTATTGATCTGTTTCATCTCTTGGAGGGAGTACAGATCAAGATGGGATTCAGGCAACAGCTAGTTCAGTATTAGCCATGAAACCGTTAGAAGATCGTTCTGGAAGGATGGAGGGAGATTAGGGAAGAAGAGGCAGCCCGGAGGAGGATGAGGCATGAAGTATGAGATGGATTGGAACAACCAAGCTGGAGGGGACCATGGGGGGGGAGAGAGGAGGATCCCATTGTCTTGGGTATCAGGGAAGGTCCCAACAGGACACAGAGGACATTTTGAGCTGCCTCGAGAGGACTTAGTGAAGGAGTTACGGGCTCATAGGTAGGGTTAAGAGACCCAAGAAAAAACAATGTTCAAGGCTGGGCATGGTGGTGAAGGTAGGTGGATCTGTGAGTTCTAGGAAGCCTGCTCTACACAGTGAATTGAAAAAAAGAAAAGGAGGGTTAATCAAACCCCAGGGACTAGAAAAAAGGGCAAGCCATCTGGATTCTTTATGCTGAAATAATGATATTGGAGTCCAAAACCTGGAGCCATATGGGCATAGCACAACCAAGGTTACAGAAGCAGGGAGTGGGAATAGGAAATACTTTTCTTCTTTTTTGCTCCTTTCCTTTCCTTTGTGTGCTGATACATTGTTTATGATCTAATGAAGCCACTGAAGATCAGAGTGCACCAGCCACACTAGACAGCCACAGGAGCTGGGCAATGTTGGCACACACCTTTAATCCCAGGACTCAGGAGACAGAGGCAGGTGGATCTCTTTGAGTCTAAGACTTCCCTGAGCCACACAGAAGTGAATCAGTCTAAAAGAGCAACAGAGCTCACACTTTTAACCCCAGCACCACAGAGGTATATAAGGAAGAAGCAGAGAGTCTCATGTGACATTCAGTCTCAGGAATTCAGTCTCCAGCCACGCTAAGGATTCGTGGAGGCAGGATCATCCCCCTCCCCCAAAGTCTGAGGTAGAGACAAGAGCTAGTGGCTAGCCGATTTGCTTCTCTGATCTTCAGCTTGAACTCCAATATGTGTCTCTGGGTTTTTATTATTTGTGTTACAACAAGGTCTCAACAGTATAACCCAAGCTAGGCTAAGAACTAGCTGGCCTCAACCTGTAGGTAGCACTCTCTTAAGTGCTGGGGTTATAGGTGTGAGACCTTGTGCCTGACAAATTTTTTCTGACCTCTGTAGCTCCCTAGCCTTTAGTCTCCAAATTCAGCTGGAAGCTAGAGGATAGGAGGGCCTGGATGACGTGGCAAAGGAAGACAGAGAACACTGAAGGCTACACAAACAGTATGGGTAGGACACTTGGGCAAGGATCTCGCTTTGGAAAACAGACATCTGGTCAACCCAAGGAAGGGGTTCTTTGAAGCTCCGTAGAATTCACGGGAAGCTGCTAGGGCATATCGTCACGGAGTGGGAGCTGTCAGGTGGCAAGGCAGGAAGCAGAGTAGATGACATCATTGGTTAAGGGTGAGCGAGGGGTGAACCTGGTGGGAACAGAACGATGTCACTTGTGGTTGGTGGTGGATTAGCCCCTGGACTAGGGTTCAGAATGAGGGGTGCTCTGGGTCAACCATGTCCCAGGAGAGAGAGAAGCTGGTGGTTATGGGTGACTCTCTTTAGCTGTAGATCTCCTGGAGTCAATGGAGGGTAGTCTGTATGCTTAGAAAGGTGGTTACATTGTGGACAGAGGCAGGAACATAATCACTTCCTCCTCCTGAGGAAGGCCATCTTTGTAAGGACACACGTGTGCCTGCTCTACCTCAGGCTGCCTATATCTCACAGAGGCTAACTGCACCCACAGGCCTCTACCGCCATGTCAGGTATGTCCGTTTTGACAATGTTGCTGTCCCTGTCATAGTAGAGCAAAGACAGAGGACGTCGAGCTGTGGGCACACAGCATGAGCCTCCTCCAGAGGCGCCGACAGCCGTGTTGGCTTTCAGTAGATTAAGCACTGCGGTGTGAAAGGAGGCAGAGATGCCAGGCATGCCGGCCACATGTAGCGGGCACTGGCCAGTACAGAAGTTCATGGCATAGCCTTCAGGCTGGATGATCCAATCATGCCAGCCAATCTCACGGAAGTCTACAAAGAATTCTTGTCGACAGCACATCCTGGACCCTTCCTGGCAGTCGATGCCTCGTCGGTGAACCCGATGCTTGTCCCCGGCTCTTACCCGAGCTGCCACAAAGGGCCTGTGAGAAAACCCACCCAGGATGACTGAACCGTGGGCTGCCTGGCTTTCCGTTACCAGCTCTAGACTCAGATGCCCCTGACTGCAAGCAGCCCGAGCTTCAGGCCCCAGGACAAGCTGGTGCCAGCCACTGGCATCCACCTGCAGCGGGTACTGACTTGTCCAGGTGAGGTTGGTGTCATATGGTCTTAGCACGAGAACTCGCACATTCAGGGTCTGGGTGGCATTGGAAGGGAGTTGCACAAAGAACATGAGGCGGACCTGCCGGACATCCGTGCCGCCAGCAGCTCTGTCGGAGAAGTGAAAATCGAGACGAGTCTGGTTGATGCTGGAGAGGCCTGGGAGCATAAGAAATCCTAGTCAAGTCATTGCGGCCTTCTACTCATCAGCTTTGCCAGCAACCTTTCTGTTCTTAGCATACCTTTTTCCTCCCGTTTCTGAAGACCATGGCTCACGTAGTCCAAACTAGCCTTTCCGCCATCATCTCTCATCTTCCATACCGAGATACCTACTTTCTTTCTTCCTTTCTTCTTTCCTCCTCCTTTTTTTTTTTTTAAAGATGGTTTCTCTGTGTAGCCTTGGCTGTCTTAGAACTCACTCTATAGACCATGCTGACTTCAGACTTACAGAGATCCACCTGCCTCTGCCTCCTGAGTGCTGGGATTAAAGCTGTATGCCCCGGCCACTTGGAAAGGTATCTTTGAACCCTTAGCCCTGGTGTTACAGATGTATGCCACCATGTTTGGCTTCTCTTTAGTTTTTGTAGTGCTGGAAGTTGATCCCTAAGTTCTGTTGATAAGAGTGCCTGCCCGGTATGCATGAAGCCTGGGTTCCATTCCCAGCCTGAATAAAACAACATCTGGAGTTGCATACCCGTCAAGTCACAGCGCTAAGAGCGGGCAGAAGAGGAGTATCAGGAATTCAGGGCCAGCATGGGCTGTGTGAGACCCTGTTCCAAAAACAAAAGCAAGTGCGGGAAAATAGCTCAATGGTGAAGACAGCTTACTGTTCTCCCCTGGACTCACATTCAAACCCTGGCACCCACTGGGTGGCTCACAACCACCTGGGACTCCAGCTCCAAGAGAAGCTGACTCTCATTACCTCTGTGGGCACCTGTGCTTACATGTGTATACCCACACACAGACACACACCATATATAATTTAAAAAAAAAAAAAAAGCTGGGCATTGGTGGCGCACACCTTTAATCCCAGCTCTTGGAAGGCAGAGGCAGTTGGATCTCTGTGAGTTCAAGGCCAGCCTGATCTATAAAGTGAGTTCCAGGACAGCCTCAAAAAAAAAAAAAAAAAAAAAAAAAGAAAAATCTAACAAGCAAAACCCAAGAACAACAAAAGGCTATACTACACGACTGGTTCGCAATAACCAGTACCTTTCAGTATTCAAGATTGTATGCATTACTTGTACAGATCCTGGAATTGCAATGTCAGTGAGACATTAGCAAGCAGTTTGACAACGATTTACACACTGAGATCTGGTCTCTTAGGAACCAGACACTGTTTTAAATAACAGGAAATCCTGGAGAAAGAGGTGGGGAGGAGAGAGAGAGAGAGAGAGAGGGGAGAGGGCAAGGAAGAGGGAAGAGAGGAGGGGGAGGAAGAGGGGGAGAGAGATGGAGGCCTGGAGAACGAGAGCCCATCAGAAACATCTGAGTTCCATTTAGCTCTCAGCTGGATACAGTGGCTTGAGTGACCTCAATTATTATCACCTGGGTCACAAAAGTTGCCCAGTTAAAGGGAATCAAGACACAGAATCATGCAAAGAACGACCTAATTGTCTTAAGACAATTTGTTCAGCTGCATCAGTGTGGTGGCCCACTCATATAAATTCCTCATAGTTGGAAGCTGGACCAGGAGGATTGCCGAGAACTCTAGGCCCACCTCACCTACAGAGCAAGACTCTGAAGAAATAAAGACGAAAACCAAATAACTGTTGAAAATATAAAAAGGGTAGGGCTGGTAAGATGGCTCAGTGGTTAAGAGCACCGGCTGCTCTTCCAGGGGACCTGGGCTCAATTCTTAGCACCCACACGGAAGCCTGTAACTCCAGTTCCCATGGATCTGACACCTTCACACCAATGCATATAAAATAAATCTAAATAAGTTATTTTTAAAAATATAAAAAAAATTATGTTAGGGCTGAGGTGTAGTTCAAGTGATAGAACAGTTTCCTACTATGTGTGATAAGTGGGATTGATTGACAGAACCAACCAACCAAAAACCCCGTTGGCGGCAGCAGCAGCAAGGCCGTTTTTATGTTGGTATATAATACTAACAAGTAACAGGAAAAGAAATGTGTGTCAGAAGTGGGGTGCCACCACTGTGACCCAAAACCAACATTTGCAGCATTGACTTTGGGACTCAAATGTGGCAGGCCAAGTTTGGAAGGACAGAGGAGAGGCGTTAGCAGCGAGGAGGCCGCTGTCTGTCACCTGTAGTAACTGGGAAGCCAGAAACCATTTCTAAGTTGTGACTTCAGCTGGAGAGATTTCCTGGTAGAATGCTGAAAATGTCGATCGTCTTATTTTAGCTGTGATAAGGCATTTCGGGAGACATGAGTTGGAGGGGGGTCCGGGATCCAGACAGAGCCAGGAGCAATGACTCACACCTGTAATTCTAGTAGCATTTGGGTGGCTGAGGCAGGAGGATTGCTGTGAGTAGGAGGCCAACCTGGGCTACTTAGGTCTGAGACATCCTGGACTACAGAGTGAGGCCCTACTTCAAAGGAACAAAACAACACACACACACACACACACACACACACACACACACACACACACAGTTTCCTCAGTTTCCCAGCAGAACTTAGGATAATTCTAAAAGGACTGAAAAATGAAATCATTTTTTTCTTCCTTTCCCTTTGACTCTGTGGTTATTAAGCTCCTATTATCTGCCCAGGGGTGGTGGTGCAAACCTTTAATCCCAGCATTCAGGAAGCAGAGGCAGGCTAGGGCTACACAGAGAAACCCTGTCTCGAAAAACCAAGAGAGAGAGAGAGAGAGAGAGAGAGAGAGAGAAAGGATCATGAGATGGAGGCCAGCAAGACCTATCAGAGAGAGAGGTTTATGAATCAGTGGCCGCTCTGTACCTTGTTCCCCCATACCCTCCTAAAGGAGGACATCTGTGGGGTTACCTTGTCCTTGTATTAGCCTCGGCATTGGGTTGGATGGGTAGGGTGAAGATGTAACTTATTTATAGGGCATGGGCAGTGGTGTGTTAGTAAACACTGAACAGCTGGTCCCTGGGAGGGGGACCCTTAAAACCCTCATTTGTGGGGATCGACAGTTTCTCTAGAAAAATTCTTCCACGAGGTCCAGTTTTAAACTTCTAATGCGACAAAACCGAACCCAGGTGTCATAAGGCAGCATGAGCCACTTTTAGGACAACATCGAAGATCCCTGAACCTGGAGAAGAGAGCCCGGGCAGCCTCATGATTTGGACTCTTGATTTAGGTGACGAGACCATGGACTTCAACACTAATCCCAAGGTTATGACGGATGGAAATGTGACACGGGGGAGTCAGGAGGGGTGGTTGTGTTTTGTATGTGCGAGTGGGAAGGAAATGAATGATTAGGGCCAGAGGATAGTCTATGATAGATTGCTATGTTGGCAGCCCTCAGTGAACATCTCCTGGTTTGCATTTTATCAGTCCCCCCGCCCCCCCCGCCTCCCCCCGCCCCCCCCCCGCCCCAGTTTCTGGATTTGGCCGCAGTGACACGCTTTGTCCACGGGACAAAAGTAAACAAAGTGTGTGCAGAACCTGGGCAGTCGTTTACACTGCAATTGCCCTCTTGGAGGCCAGCCATTGTGTTTAAAGGGGGTTGGGCTGGAGTGATCCGAAGATTCTTTTGTCTTCTGCCCCCTCACAATCCGTATCCTAGCGTTTCAGATGCTAAGGCAGGAAGGTCAGGAACGCTTGGCCAATCTGAGGTATGTTGTAAGTTTCAAACCAGCTTGGGCTACGTAGGGAGACCCTGTCTCAAAAATCAAAAAGCAAATCGCGCTGAAATCAGGATTCCCCAGGCCAGAGTATTGGGAGATGGAGCCTTCAGGGAGGTATTAGGTCATGGGGGGTGGAGCTTAGATCATGGGGGTGGAGCCTCGGGGAGGGGATTCCTGCCCTGTTAAGGAAGTTCAGAGTGTTTCTTTCTCTTTTCGTCCCTGTGAAGATACAGAGAGGAAGCCCTTACTGGATAGGATGGTCCTTCCTATTTTTTCCGCATCCTAAGGACTTTATATGTACTAACCCATTTACATCTCTAAGCTACAGTCTTATCCTCGTTTATGGATGAGAAAATTGGCATTAACTACCTAGGTCACTCAGCTGAAATGTCTCTGCAGGAGTGGGAGCCCAAGCTACATGGCTGCAGAGTTTGTGCTGGGTCTCCAGGAGGAGAGGGTACCAGCCACCAGGGGAAAGGGGCCAGGACCAGGTGGGGAGCAGCATCACCCACACCCAAGAGGGAGCTTGCATTTAGCTTCTAAGTGCTAAGATTTCCTCATCTTCTCTCTAGTGCTCTTCCATGTGGGAGTAATTCTTTCTTTCCTCTACCTTTTATTCTTTTGTTGTTCTTTCCAAGGCAGGGTTTCTCTGTGTAGCCCTGGCTGTCCTGGAACTCACTGTGTAGACCAGGCTGGAGTCAAACTCAGAGATCTGCCTGTCTCTGTTTCCCGAGTGCTGGGATTAAAGACATTCGCCACCTCAGCCAGTTTACTGAATTTTTCAAAATAAGTTTTTTATTTGTTTTTGACACAGGGTCTCACCTATCTCTGTGGGTGACCTTGAACTCAGAGTGCTGGGATTAAAGGTGTGCACCCATCACATCTGGCCCAAGCCTGAGTTTCTTCATTGATTGGTTATTGTTCACAGCTCTTTCTGAGTGCTATTTGACCTTGTTCTGACATGAGGACTTGAGGTATGGAGAGGTATCGTGATCTTGGTGTTTTACTTTTTCTCTGTTTACATAAATGGGGTACTCTTGAAGAAGAGAAGATGGAAGTGATAGATCCTGGGGCCAGGTTCTCACTGGGAGGATTATGGGGTCAGAGAGAGAGGGAGAGAGCAAGAGAGAGAGGGAGAGAGAGAGAGAGAGGGAGAGAGAGAAGGAGAGAGAGAGCACGCAGAGGAGACAAGGACAAGCAGCTTCAGAAGTGAAACTTAGCAGTTTCCAGCCCCCCCCCCCCCAGGTGGACCTGACTTATCCTGTCTTCGAGAATCTGGGACCTAGACCTCAGAGTGCAGAGGTAGCCTGTGTGAGGTAGCCTGTGCTGGATGGCTTGGGAGAGGTCGTCGGGAGGAGTGAAGCAGGGTGAGGTTTGGGGTCAGAGCTGCAGGCCATGGACCTACCTGTCTCAGCAAAGCTGATGACCTCATATTCTTGTGTCGGGTCATGCTCCAGCAGGGTTTTCTGTCGATGAGGCCCACGGAGGCGCTGTAGTGCGGTCTTCAGAGCGGCTCTGGACACAGGCTGACTCAGTGTGGGGCGCTGGCTGAGGTGTAGCTTCTCCAAGATACTTTTCTTGGCCAAGTCGAGAAGCAGCTCCCTCTGGCTCTCTAGGTCGAAGGTGGCCCCCCAACACGCTGGACATGAACTACCAGTTTGGAGGTTGGCCACTGTGGCTGGAGTCAGTAACCAAAAAAACAGGAACAAGGAGGAAGCCATTGCTGGAGGAGGTCCTCCTTGAAGGACACACATCCAGGGTTCAGGGTCTTGACGTTAGTGTCCCCAATTCTGTCCTGGCCACAAGGGACCCTGGGAGGAGTGTACCTTTGGCTGGCATGACTCTTCTTTTGCCAGAGATAGAGCAGCCAAGTATCTGACCAGGAAAATGAAGCCAGTACAGGTGGAACTTGGCAGAATGTTCCGGTGACAGTACAAGAGCGGGGGATGTGAGGGTTGTTTGGAGAGAGAGAGATGTCTGTCCCTTTGCTACTGTTAGGAGATTGTTAACCAGATGAGCTGCCAGGCCTGGGACAGAGGTTAGAATCCTTCCTCTGCACAGCCTTGCTGGGAAGCCTGGGAGAAAGAAAGGCCGTGAGCAAAGGTGCCGGGATTAAAGGCAGGGACCACTACGTCCCAGCTCCTCTCTGCCTCTTACCGTCCACTGGCCCTCATCTTTCCTCTCTGGTGCTCGCAGCCCAACCTTCTTTGTTAGTTCTGGTTGGAGTTTGCCCACTGAGTCAAAGTTGTCATCTGAAAGTTATGGAAACAGGAAGAGAAAAGAAATGTGTGTGCGTGCGCTATGTCGGAAACATGGATAGGCACGTGGGAATCATTTAAAAAACAATAAATTTGCAAGCTTCATCAGTTTCATTGGCTGCAATTTACCAAGCAATCCCAGTTTCCCTTGATAGCACCCGTGGCTGTTGAGTGCGGGAAGTCATCAGCTTCTTTTGTAGGGCCTTATTGAACACAGAGGCCGAGAGCCGACATGGCTACAAAGAGTCACTGTAGGTGGTCAGATATTAATAACTCAGCTGAAGAGCTGCTGGAGACTAGCAGAGCCTCAGGGGTGAGCTGGAAGACACCGGGCCACAGGAAAGAGCGGGTGGATGGAAGGAATATGGCAACCGTGTCTGACTTGATTTTTTATTTTTATCTCTGTGTGTTTTGTTAACATGTATGTGTACCACATGTGTGCGGTGCCTGTGGCGGCCAGAGATTCCTCTGGAGTTACAGCCAGTTGTGAGCTGCCATGTGGGTACTGGGAACCAAACTTGGATCTTCTGAAAGAGCAGCCAGCGCTTTTTGTAGACATTTCTGTCCGGTCCGGTCCCACAGTGGTTTAGTCCCAAATAAACACACAGGGGCTGATATTAGTTTTAAACTATTTGGCCTATTGCTCAGGCTTATTACTATCAAGCTCTTACGACTTAACTGATTCTTACCTGTGCTTAGCCACATGACTTGGTACCTTTTCTCAGTAAGGAATTCTCATGTTGCTCCTCTGTGTCTGGATGGCGACTCACTCTCCCCTTCCTCTTCCCGGAATCCTGGTCTGGTAGCCTATACTTCCTGCCTGGCTACTGACAACTAGTGTTTTATTGAACCAATACGAGGTGACGGATCTTTACAGTGCACAAGAGCATTACCCGACATCATTTCCTTTAACCCCTCACTCGGGAGGCAGAGGCAGGTGGGTCTCTGAGTTCCGGGCCAGCCTGGTCTATAGACAGAGTTCTAGGACATCCTAAGACATTTCTGACTGCAGCTTTTAACCCATCAGCCATCTTAACAGCCACCTTGTAATGGTTTTAATATGTTTCCAGTCTATTTCCCTGGGGACGCAGGGATGCCTGTTTCACTTGGACGAATGACTTATCTGCCTGTGCCTCCTGGTTCGTCCAGGGCAGGTGATACCGTGCCTGCACGCACAAAGGAAATGCAGGGTCATCTTGCCACCATGTTTGCACTCAAAATGGAGCCAAGTGCTGCTTTGTAAAATGGTGTCTCCCAGGACGAAAGACCCGGCCTGAAAGCCACTGGACCAGGGCATCAACTCAGAGCAGGTCACAGCCTGGGCCACACGCCGACTTCCTATGTCCTTTAACAGTGGGGAATGGGCCTGAGGTCTAGATTCTCTCGCCTTTTGCAATCAGTTCTACCCCGGAAGAGAGCTTTTGAGGTTTCTCGGAATTCTTACCTCTGTCCTCCGAGAGTCCCAAGTAGTGAGCCCCTGAGGAAGGAACTCTGTTTCCACAGGGGGGATTTCCCTGAGAAGGCTGGAGGGAGGTGGGTAGCCTTTTTAAACCAAGAGGCTTTGGCTAGAATCCGACTCTCTCCCTGTGGAAAAGGAGGGCGAATGTGGGAGGGCTGGTGTTTGAACCCGGGACTCTTCACTGGTCTCCCACTGACACAGCTCCGTCCTTCACTTCCTCTGATTAGCCCCAACCCTGTGTTAGGGATTTCACCTCTTTTGCTTTCATTTCTTCGCTACAAGTTTGGGAAATGACCACTAAGAACTCCAAGAAGGCTGTAAGCCATGCTTTTTTTTTTTTTTTTTTTTTTTTTTTTTTGTGGAAACTATCTGGTGGTTGAGATTGACAGGAACTAAAGTAATGTCATTTGTGAGTCTTTAAAAAATGATTAAAACTTTACTATAAACAACTTACAAATAAAATCATCACAAGTCAAAATTAATCAAACCCAGCTGGGTGGTTGTGGCAGCGTATGCCAGTAATCCCAGCATCGGAAGGCAGGGCAGGTGGATCTCTGTGAGTTCCAGGCCAGCCTGGTCTACAGAGTGAGTTCTAGGCCAGCCTGGTCTACAGAGCAAGTTCCAGGACAGCCTCCAAAGCAATACGGAGAAACACTGTCTTGAACTCCCCCCACAAAAAAAGTTCAATCAAACCCACAATCTATACCTCTCTGTCTCTCTCTCTCTCTCTCTCTCTCTCTCTCTCTCTCTCTCTCTGAGACAGGATCTCATTGTGTAGTGCTGGCTGTCCTGGAACTCACTGTGTAGACCAGGCTGGCCTTGAACACACAGAGATCCACACACAAGAGACCCACCTGTCTCTGCTTCCTGAGTGCTATGGTTAGAGGGGTGAGCCACCATATATATCCTTCAGTGCAAAAGTACAACTTCCTCAGCCCATACAATGTTAATGTTACCTGTAACCTGTATGTGTATGTTCAGGGTCAGGGCTGACCGTTGGTATAGATGACCAATTAGAGGGGCTCTTCCCCGGAGAAGACTTCTCCCAACCTCAGAACCCCCCAGTTGCCTGTAGCCCTTTGTCTGGGGTTGAGGCCCTGAGAGCTTTCCTACCTCCCTGTTGGCGTGACGGCTGGTGTTGTCATTGGTCATTGTTCAGGCAGCCATGTTGATGAGACTTCGTGGATTCAATGAACTCCTACACAGAATTCTGAAGCTGTGTTGCATCTCATTGGGTTTTACATTTCCATTCTCAAATGTATTGTTATATTCTCATCCAGTGCCAAAAAAACAAAACAAAACAAAACAAAACAAAAAACCCAAAAAACTCATGTCAGAGTTAAAACTAGAAAAAAGAGTTACTTTACAGACTTTTCATGAGTCCATCGCCTTCAGTTCAGGTTTTCCTTATCAGCTGTTTTACCATTTCTCCTTTCTATATGTTGTAGTGCATTCACACGTATATTTTTTACCCATTTGTGTAGTGAGATATTCACCTTGCCCACACCTTTGGCATAGACCACGCCCATGGGGGGTGGAGACAGGGCCGGATGTCACCTGGAGGAACTAAGGCTGAGGAGGGGGCTCGGGGAGCTGTCTTGCTTGCTGTGAGGGGACAGGAGCACTTCTGGAGGCATCCTTGGGACCAGGAACCTGCTGGTGCTCATCTGTCTATGTTGTGAGTTATTTCTCCCTGAATAAACATCTATTCGGCCTATTTGTGTCTCCTGATCCTTATTAAACATCAATACTTGTGCATTTCATTTTGTATACATGCCATTGTTTTCATTACCCATTCATCTGCTGGTGCACAAAACAAATCTCACCAGTATTTTTAATTTCACTTTTTATGCTTTTGGGCGTGGCTTAGACTTGACTTCAGTATTTGAGGGTTAGGCATGTAACTCAGTTGGTATTGTGTTTGTTCAGCATGCATGGATCCCCGGGTTTGATTCCCAACATCACACACACTGGGCATGAGGGTTGCCTGCTTTCAATCCCAGTGTTTGGGGCTTGGGTACCTCAGGATCAGAAGTTCAAGGTTATTCTTGGCTGCATATCTCCTGACTTCATTTTTCTTTAGAGTTGCAGGCTAGCCTGGTGTATGTGAGCCTGGTCAGTAATTTTGAAGCATTTACAGCAGTGGTTGACAAACAGTAAATGTTTAATCAGAATTTACAATTCAGCCAGGTGGTGGTGGTGGTGGTGGTGCTGGTGGTGGTGGTGCACACCTTTAATACCAACACTTGGGAAGCAGAGGTAGGTGGATTTCTGTCTGTGAGTTCAAGGCCAGCCTGGTCTACAGAGTGAGTGAGTTGTAAGTCCAGCCAGAGCTAAGAGTGAGAGTCTCTCTCTTTTTCTCTCTCTAAAAGTAAAAGTTTAAGGGTTTTGCATAGGACTCTGTGGTAAAAATCACTTGCCTAACATGCAGGTTAAATTCCTAGTAATACCACCCCCTCAAAAATAAAATAAATCCCAAATCCTTATCCAGATGTGGTAGCAGATGTCAGCATACTGGCATGCTTCAGTACTTGAGGGGTTCAGGGGGAAGGCTGTTGAGTGGCAGGCTCCGCTTGACATACCGTGAGACCCTACCTCAACCCTCCCTCCCACCAAAGCTCCCGAACAAATAAAGACAGAGGTTTTATGAAGATACATCACAAAATGGACTCTTATAAGTGGGTTTGTTTGTTGTTTGTTTATGTCACAACCACTTTGCAAACATTGCTGCTACTTGATATTTTCTTTTATGTGCACGTTAGGCAAGTGCTCTATCTCTGAGCTACCTCCTGCCTGGAAGAGAAAACCTGTTCTATTAGCAATCGCTGTCTCTCCTGTCAACCAGCCGGCGGGGATTGATGTCTAACATTCTTAACTTTTACGGTGCTGGGGATTGACACCAGGCACATGCCAGGCAAAGCACTTTCTCGGAACGATACATCCCCAGTCCTTGGGTTTTGAAGCAGGCTCTTGCTCTCAATCCTCCTGCCTCTACCTCCGGAGT